CCTGTTTTATATAAAGCTATTCCAGGTTTAGGCAAATGTAATAAATTTAGTCGCTTGTTGTTTGTAGGATTGGATTTAATAAACTGGGCAAAGTAGACTGGAGTATTTTGAGATTAAATTTTATGAATAAATTTGGCCTTGTTAAAAATTAAACGCTTACTAAAGGGCAGAAATCTTAAATGGCTACAGAGATGATTTTTAAGTTTTTATCCGAAACCAGGTGTAAAGAGCAATTTTGAAGAGAACTTAGTCTTTTAACATTGGATTTGGTGCACCCATTCCAAACTGTGGAACAATAGTCGACATGTGTTTGGATGTAGGATGCGTAAAATATTTTTTGTGTATGTTCATCCAGAAAATGGTGAATTTTGGCAAGCTGATAAACTTTTTGTGTTGTTTTCTTAGTTATGAGACAAAAATGAGAATTCCAAGTTTTAAATGATTGTCAATTATAAGGCCTAATGTTATGTGTTCCATTACATTAACAACTGGTAATTCATCAGTGTAGAGCTCAAGTGGTGGCTTGTGCAATTCTAATGTTTGTAACTTTTGCTTGATTGTTATAAGCTTAGATTTAGTTTTATTTATGTTAACTTGCATGTGATTGCTATTGCTCCATTTAAAAGAGATTATTTACCTCTTTCTGTAAAGAACTTTCCAACTTTTTATAACTGGAGAATGCTGAGCACAAAGGAATAATTTTGAGTACAAAGGAAGAACGCTGAGCACAAAGAAAGAATGCTGAGCACGAAGGAAGAATGCTGAGCACAAAGAAAGAATGCTGAGCACAAAAAAAGAATGCTGAGCACAAAGAAAGAAGGCTGAGCACAAAGAAAGAATGCTGAGTAAAAAGGAAGAATGTTGAGTACAAAGGAAGAATGCTGAGTACAAAGAAAGAATGTTGAGTAGAAAGGAAGAATGCTGAGCACAAAGAAAGAATGCTGAGCACAAAGAAAGAATGCTGAGTACAAAGAAACAATGTTGAGTTCAAAGGAAGAATGCTGAGTTCAAAGAAAGAATGTAGAGTACAAAGAAAGAATGCTGAGCACAAAGAAAGAATGTTGAGTACAAAGAAAAAATGCTGAGCACAAAGAAAGAATGTTGAGTACAAAGAAAGAATGCTGAGCACAAAGAAAGAATGCTGAGCACAAAGAAAGAATGTTGAGCACAAAGGAAGAATGCTGAGCACAAAAAAAGAATGCTGAGCACACAAAAAAGAATGCTGAGCACAAAGAAATTCCATCAGCAGTTCCTGCTGCTGGAGTCAGACCCCCACATACTTTAAGCCAGAAAATACAAGTCTGGCTGAAAAGTTCTAACCCCTGCTGCGTTTCATCTTCAAAAAAATTATAAAAATCGCCGAAGAAAATTTTTGTTCCATGGCTGCTACCTGAAGGTTTGACTGCCCAGAGATTACAAAATCTCACCATGGATGGCAAGTTAACAGAGCAAATCTGAAACCCCATTCAACCTTCAAAGAAATTATTATCAGAGCATCACATGGGCTATACCAGCTCAATGTAACCTGCAGTCGGTAAATCCCAAAGCTTTACTGCTCTGACAAAATTGAATGCTGAATGCTGAATTAAGAATTGACATCACATCACTTGGGACACTTCCATAAGCGCTCTGTCCTCATCTTCAGCAGCAAGCAAAAAGTTCAAATTCCGATGGCACCAGTAACTGTCTGATTGTACATCCGTCTCGCCTTTCTCTTGAGTGTTGAGCGTCGGCCAGATCTCCTGGTAACTCTTCCCAGCGCAATTTCCCTCAGACTATAATGACCTGTTTGTGCCTCTACACTGTTCACTCACTCCCAAAGGGCCCTCACAACATCTAGTGTGTCAAATGTACCTGAAGATGCTTGATACCATCTTCAGGTACAGACAAGAGGGTAAATCCCAAAGCTGCACTGCTCAGACAAAATTATCCTGCTTCTGTTGGAAACAGAGCCGGGACTGATGCCTCAGTAAGTAAAAAAATAAAGTAAAGTAAAGATCCCTTTTCACGCCTTTCGGCGCATCGGGCATATGGGCAGAGCGTCCCATATTTTTACAGACCATCAGCACTCTGTGGGTAATGTGGTCAGCATTACGCCGGCTGTCTTTACTTTCCCAGGACAGCCCATCCTGGTACCCATTTTAGGCTGGGTCGACCTGCGACGTCCCATACCACGATAAAAATCCACGCAGCCTGCAGTGGGTTTCGATCGCGGTATGCTGGCTCACGAGTCGGACTCACAACGCCTTAGCCACGGACGCCGCTATGCCTCAGTAGGCATGAGTTAAAAGTGACTTGTGTATCCTACACAGGACAGTGCAGAACCGATCCCAGCATCTGCCAGGGTAGCTTGTGAATTTATTAAGCAAATTTTAAGTTTATTAGTTTGCCACTGATTTCTGAGTGGTCGGCTGTCAATACCATTGTCGAAACTAATGCAAAGTTGTGAACTGCCAAATCGCGAACATCTGGTTCCAAAAGTTGTGTGGACAGGGGCATCAAATCAATAAATCTTTTTCTTCTTCGTGTTCACCAGCTGTAAACTCTGGCGGAAAATTCTGGTTGTTCACCCATCTCTGACTTTACACTTTTTCCAGAACCTGAGTATTGCGTGCACATCTGTTTTACAGGTCTGACTTATTTGCAAGCAGACTTGGTTCCTTGTCTTTCAGGCAGATGCACTCTGACTTTGAAGGAAACCCCCAATTAGTAGACTCTTACGACATGCTTGGTGGGGAGGTGGTGGGTCTTTCTCCACAGTGGGGCCCCGGAACCCACTTGGGGACCATCAATAAATAAAACAATAACAATTACCTGATATAATAAATCAGACGACTGACTGAGGTAAACAGCCCCAGAAAGTACAGTGACACTATTACTAAACAACACAAAGATTCCGTATTACATCTTTTTTAGTGCTTATAAACACTTACTTACACATATCACACCGTATGATATTGGGTCGAAAAGCAGAAATCAAAGATGCCCTTATATCAATAACAGCTTATGAACACTTACACATATCACACCATATGATAATAGGTCGAAGAGCAGAAATCAAAGATGTCCTTATATCAACAACAGCTTATGAATACTTAAACAAATCACACCATATGATAATGGGTGGAAGAGCAGAAATCAAAGATATCCTTATATCAACAACAGCTTATGAATACTTACACATATAACACCAAAAGATAATGGGTGGAAGAGCAGAAATCAAAGATATCCTTATATCAGCAACAGCTTATGAACACTTACATGCACAGGATCTCCTCAACTTACAAACAAATTCCATTCCAGCTAACAGGTCATAGTCAAACTGGTCGTAAATCAAATTTTTATTTTTCAACACTATTTTAATTCAAACAGGTTTCAGAAATTGAACATAAAACACACACATTCAGTCTATGTACGTACGATTATTGTACATAGGCATCTGTGTACATTCTAAGCATTATTTCCTGGAACATTTAACCTTATCAATATAGCTTTCCTTCTTTATTTACTATTTCTATTTATTTTTATTTTTTTTCTGGTTGTAATAGTGGATGGTTGTAAATCGCATAGGTCACAAGTCCAAGAGCAGGTGTAGACCATATGTCACTGTGTTAAAGTGCAGAATCGAAAGAAGGTGCAGACCATATGACATTGTGTCAAAGGCCAGTGTCAAAGGCTAGAAACTAAGGGTATGATTATACTCATAAGAACAATAACAGCTATGAGCCCTTGCATTACCACAGCACATGGAACTGGGTCAAAGGGCAGAAACTAAGGGTATGATTATACTCATAAGAACAATAACAGCTATGAGCCCTTGCATTAACACAGCACATGGAACTGGGTCAAAGGGCAGAAACTAAGGGTATGATTATACTCATAAGAACAATAACAGCTATGAGCCCTTGCATTAACACAGCACATGGAACTGGGTCAAAGGGCAGAAACTAAGGGTATGAGTATACTCATAAGAACAATAACAGCTATGAGCCCTTGCATTACCACAGCACATGGAACTGGGTCAAAGGGCAGAAACTAAGGGTATGAGTATACTCATAAGAACAATAACAGCTATGAGCCCTTGCATTAACACAGCACATGGAACTGGGTCAAAGGGCAGAAACTAAGGGTATGAGTATACTCATAAGAACAATAACAGCTATGAGCCTTTGCATTAACACAGCACATGGCACTGGGTCAAAGGGCAGAAACTAAGGGTATGAGTATACTCATAAGAACAATAACAGCTATGAGCCCTTGCATTAACACAGCACATTGAACTGGGTCAAAGGGCAGAAACTAAGGGTATGAGTATACTCATAAGAACAATAACAGCTATGAGCCCTTGCATTAACACAGCACATGGAACTGGGTCAAAGGGCAGAAACTAAGGGTATGAGTATACTCATAAGAACAATAACAGCTATGAGCCCTTGCATTAACACAGCACATGGAACTGGGTCAAAGGGCAGAAACTAAGGGTATGAGTATACTCATAAGAACAATAACAGCTATGAGCCCTTGCATTAACACAGCACAAAGGGCAGAAACTAAAGGTATGAGTATATTCATAACAACAATTTTAAAAAAAGGTAAAGTCGGGAGATGTGAAGCGTCAATGCACATGATTATAAACCATAAGTGCTCTGCCACCAGTACGGCCAGCTGATAAGAATTGTCCGCCTGTGTCGCCGTTTGCATGTAACTCTGTAGCTACAGCGACTTTCCTCCATTTACCCCAGAGTATCACTCTGGTACCCATTTCCTAGAGGCTGGGTGAACCCGGGGAGCCGCCCGGTTTCGAAGACTGACTGTGGGCTGCAACAAGTCGCAGCTGGATTTGAAAGCAAGCTTCTTATTGACTGCGCTAACATGGCCCCCTTCATAACAACAATAACAGCTATGAGCCCTTGCATTAACACAGCACATGGAACGGGATCAAAGGGCAGAAACCAAAGGTGCCCCAGTGTCAACAACACTACCCAAACGATTCTACTCACCCTTGCCACAGACTCAAAGTGTTCATGACTCTTCTGCAATGCTTTTGCTCTCTGTAAAGATTTCCCAATGGAGGTATTCTTCTTCAAGAAGACATCCCCATGGTTGTTCAGCCAGTCTATTACCTGAGAGGGCAATGTTCAGAAATGAAGCAAAGTTAATCAAGAATGTACCACAGACATAAAAAGCTTGAAGAACCTAATATGGATTTTTTTTTTTTTTTTTTACTTCTTCTTCTTTAGCATTCCAACCCCTAGAGGTTCCTTGTTCCAGATATCACCCATCTCCATTCATCTCTGTGACTGGCCCTCTTAGTCTTAGTCGAGGTTTTACATTCACTACAATCAGGTGCCCCATACTTGCTCCGTTCCTGTGCAAGTGCAAATCAAATGAAATATCCCTCACTGTCTCATTTGAAAAACTGTTGACCAAACAATTAGTCTGGGATCAATCCTGAAATACGCAGTAAATGCAAATGGCAGCTGCTAGAGGCGCCAAAGCCAACAGTCGCCACCACAAATGCAGTTTTATCATTGATGGAAGTAGTCGGGCACGATAAGCTGGCTATACACAGGTAGATTTATTACATAAGGTATTTCACCAGCTCACATGTAAACCGGTTACAGGCCATATTAATAACACGACACAACAACTGCACAAATGAAAGCATTCCATATAAAAAATACAGCTCACATAGCTGCACCAAGCACTACATTCAGTAGCTCAGGCAGCGAAAAATCGATTTGCCCTCTCTTTCCTCATATACACTCGATATTCAATATTATCTCTCCACTGCCTTCCTGGTCTGCCTCGTGGTCTACTCTTAGCCAGCTCTTGTGTGTATGCAGGTTTGTCTCTCTGTTATCTCACATTCTCTCCACATGCCCTAACCACTGCAATCTGGTAGCCAGATGCCTTCATAAATGCTACAGCCTCCTCTCAAAGATTACCCAAGAAGAATATCAGCACTGCGCTTATATTTTGTTGCACAATCAAGGGTATTATTTCTTTTCTGAGATATGTAACATGTTCCGATTCTCCTCTTCCTTGAATCTGTCCAAAATATTATGACTGCCTTTTTCTCATGGTGAATGTTACCATCATCAACTTCCACCTTTGAGTCGCAGGGAGGGACAGATTACAATCCAGCAGTCAACGGGTCTCACTTGCTATCGCCATTTAATGTCATCAACCCATGTCTCTTTGAGCAACCTCTTGCTTTCAGATCAGATCATATTTATGCGGGGAGCCTGTGTTGGTAGTTGTTGTGGTTGCACACTAATGAGGTGACCAAATCATTTAAACTTTTACTTATCAATGAATAATAAGAAACTGTTTCCTCAATCAGAGATCATTTACAACAGCACAATGTGTTTATGGCTGAGGGGGCCAGTACAGCGAGAAGCTGAACCTTATATCTACTTCAACACCTGAAATGGTAAAAAGAGGAAGTGAAGAAGAAGAAGAAGTTTACACTATCTGTCTGACAGTATCATTTCTCAATTGATATTGGATGGTCATTAGCAGCTTTACTCACAGGTGTTAATTTTACATAGGTGAGCCTTTTATAACAACCATGATCTGCACTAGTTGTGTAGTCTTTAGGCATGAATACATTATTTGTAATCTATTTCTCTTACAAGTCATACTGATGTCTGGATGTAATATTACTATATAAGCCAGTGTTTCCTAAACTTTTTTGTGTTGTGCCCCATCTAAGCCTTTCTAAAATTCTTATACCCCCCCCCCCCCACCCCCCCCCCCCTTTATGTAAGTTAAACTGTGAATGGGTCCACTTTTGAACTGCATCCACCTTAACAGTCAAATTACTCCCTTTGACAGTAAAATCTCCCCCCCCCCCCCACCCCCCAGGTTGATATATAGTCCCTCATATCTATTTATACCTTTATCTGGCGTAATAGGTATTTCTATAGACTCTAGACGTCTTGTGAAGTTTACATTTTCAAACTTACAGTTGTGGGATAGATATTTTCTGGATTAATATTCAGAATTCAGAGAAGCCTTTTTACTCCTTGGCGTACTAATCTACAAAATACCAGTTTAATCTTTGAAGGAATCCTGAGCTTGGGTAAGTTGATTATAGTTTACGAGTACCATGATATATGTCTCTATAAAGTTAACCCGCTGCTGCAGGGAGGAAAGATTCAGCTATGAGACAGCACAAAACAAGACCGTTCTTGGTGTCCAAGTACTCACAGCCACTTAAATCAAACCTTTTCCTTCGCAAGCTGATAGTTTGTGCCCTACCTGTCCCAATTTTAATCTAGCAGGCTGAACGTTCTCTAACTAACTAGTAAGGAATTTGGGTGGAGTCATTCAAGCCGACAGATTTAACTGGGTCAAAGTACAGCGAGCGAGACTCTGTGACGTCAGAGGTTATTTATAGTAGACACTTACAACACAGGCTCGACTTATGGCAGTTGGTGGAGGAAATAATATATATGTGAGAAAGAGATGGGATGTGTGTCTACAAGTGCACATGAAAATGTGGAGAGATGATGTCCTATGTGTACTAGAGTCTATCTATCTCCACTGTGGAACTTGTCTATCTCTTGTACTGACTGACAGACAGAGATACATGAAGATTGAACTGTCTCATTATCCTGAGAGCTGTCCTCTGAGTGACTGAGAAGGGTGGAAGGTAATAAATTGAGCTGGGCATGTGACTCCTGAGATGACTACTAATTCTAAGTTCCTTTTTGACACAGGATGATACCTCCCTGGAAGTCAGGCAGACAATCAGCAGTCTGACCAATCACCATCCACTAAAGTTACCTATTACCACAACTCCAACATGGCAGGAGCTTGTTTGGGCTCGAGTGGCTAAGAGACAGTTGTTGCAGGCCACCCATTTGTCATCTATCAAGGAGAACCTTCTGCAGGAGCTTGTTTGGGCTCCAGTGGCTAAGAGACAGTTGTTGCAGGCCACCCATTTGTCATCCATCAAAGAGAACCTTCCTCAGGAGCTTTGTCAAGCTCCAGTGTACAAACTCTGTCTGTGTTTACCAGGGCAACCACAAAAGGAGCAGTCCAACCGAATCAGCCTGTTCAGATCATCATGAACTGAGGAGTGCAGTGACACCTACCAAACTTGGATAAATAGAACTCTGATGAAATGCCTCATGCTCTATTTACAGGTCCACTCTGAGTTACTAGGATGATCACATAGACTGGCTCTGGCTGATTCATCAGTAATACTTGGGCTTTAATTCCCAAACTCCATTTGCCTGTGAACATCTTTGCCTAAGTCTTAATGATATATGTGTGTTGCATTTATTACATGCCTTTGGAAGTTTTCATTATTGACTTGGGTGTCCATCAATCACTGTCATGAACAAAGTGTGATTTATACTGAATGTGAAACTGTCATGCTCCACATATGCCCAGCTTATATACTTTTTAAACCCATACTGGCCTAACTTAATCTCTTCATATATATATATATATATATATATATATATATATATATATATATATATATATATATATATATATATATATATATATATATATATATATATATATATATATATATATATATATATGCATATTTATGTAAATATATAAATATAATATATATAATAAATATATATATATATATATATATATATATATATATATATATATATATATATATATATATATATATATATATATATATATATATATATATATATATATATATATATATACATATATACATATGCACGCACGCGCACAAACACACACACATGCCCAGCTTATACACTTTTAACCCATACTGGCCTAACAAATACACACACACACACATGATTTAAATGTTATTCCCATCCAAATGTGGGACACAATTTTTCATTAATTTAAAGCCCCAACCTGGATGTAGTTAAAAGTAAAGGACCCTTTTCTACGCCTTCAGGCATATTAGGCATATCGAGCTAGACCTATATTTTATAGACCAATCGGCGCTTGGTGGATGACATGGTCAGCATCACTCTGGCCGCCTTTAGTTCCCAGGACTGCACCTGGTTCCCATTTGAGATGGGTCGACCTGGGAGCCAAGGTCATTTTTTTTAAAAGTCAAGCTCTGTCAGAACCTGAACCCACGACCTTCTTACCGGCTGTAGCTAGGCGCCCTAATATAACCCAACAGTTAAACAGGGTTTGTGGGACTTGTGCCCGGGTGATCCTCCTCTGAATGGTGACACTTTGTGTCATCAGGTGTTGGTCGCTTGTTGTATGGATCTGGTGGGGTTAAACAACACACACACATAGTTTACTTGGCAATGTTACACTCTGATATGAGCCGCATCATCATACATTAAACTGGAGGGTAACTACTGAGGCAATTTCTAGCTGCTGTTTTCTTCACGGTGCCATCAAGAACCAGAAAGCAACCAGAAAATCTTACTACTATTATTTCCATTTCAGAATTCTATCCTAGGTTTGGACAGCTGACACGTCTGCTCCTTTGGAATTTTGGCACTGGACTGTGTGTGTGTGTGTGTGTCTCTCTCTCCACTATGTGGAATTAACAGGTAATCTACAAACCATAGGTTCATATCCCCACGTGAGTCCCTTCATTCAAGGCATGAAGACCGTGGTTCTCGGTCATTCCTAACCCCCACGGTTTCTTCCTAAGTCACGGCTATTCAGGTCCTTGACCCTGTGATCCCATGAAATGGAGTATTTAATTCAATCTACAAATCACATATAATAATGGGACCTAACCCTATATATCCATAAACTGACCACAACAAACATATCTTCCACTGAGGGTTGACTGAGGTCCCTCAGGCATGGTGTATCGGCTGCCAGGCAGCGGAGGTTGCACAGGCAGAGAAAAGGAGGCAGACAGGAAAGAATCGTACTGCTAAACCCCCATTTACCGCAGCTTCCATCTGTTGTCCGAACTGCTTAAGAACTTTCCAGGCTCATATTGGACTAATTAGCCACCTTCGTACTCATAATCATTGATCACTACTACTTTGGATGAGTGATATCTTCATCACTCGTGATGGGCCAACAACACAGGTCTATAAAAATATAAGTCTGGTAGACATATGCCCAACCAAATGGTCTCTTTTACATTTTTAAAGTAAACTGCAAAATCATGAGAAATAACAGTTTGCTCTGGGAGCCGCCGTAGTGAAGCAGCTAGATGCTTGCATGCCAATCTGAAGGTCGTGGGTTCAAATCCAAGCAGAACCGGACTTTTTTTTTTTTAATAAATGATCTTGGCTCCCAGGTTGACCCAGCCTTAAATGGATACCAGGAAAAGTCCTGGGAAGTGAAGGAAGTTTACATGATGCCAGCCACATCAGTCCCTGAATACCTACTGGTCTATAAAATATAGGTCTAGCCCTATATACCAAATACACCTGAAGATGTGGAAAGGGATCTTTGTACCGCCTGCTTTCTGGAAACGGAAATGTGAGCAGTTAGAGTAGGAACAGAATTTAAATGAACAAATGACGTGGTCACCATCTTTACACACAAAAAATTTATTTACCTCATGAACTACATCCAGCACATGGCCTGCTGCTTCAGAATAGTCTGCCTTGGCGGTGATTGAGTTGGCACTGCTGGAGGTCACCGGTGTTTGCAGAGTGTCCGACTTCTGCGGGCATTTGTTGACCGGGTTAGCCTTCCCGGTGACAGGTTAATATAACAAAAAAATACGAGAGCATATGCAGGGTCAGAGATTTACAGATAAAAATGTGTTGATGTCAGTGGTGCAAACTTGGTTACTGGCCATATCCAAAAGCTTCTACCTGAGGGGGGGGGAGGGGGGGGGGCATCCACAACCTTGTCGGGGGGGGGGGGGGGGGGGGGGGGGGGGGCAGACCTATTCCACCTCCCCAAAAAATGAATGTCATAAAAGGTAACTAATTAGGAGTCTGCTGAAATCAGATGTGTCCGGCCAACTGGCACAGATATTGCAACCAAGCTGTAAACCACAACAAAATGCACCAACTGCCCATTACATTTACACCACACAGAGAGGTTCATCTGCTGGCCTAAAATTCTTAGGTTCCAATCAGGACCAGATAGACTTCTTAAAACTGGTACCAGGAAATAACCTGGGAAGTAAAGATATCTGATGTGATGTTTGATCACATCAGCCATCAAGTGCCAACTGGTCTATAAACATATGACTGATGCACCCCTGTTGTGAACAGAATCATTTATTTTATTATTTGTTTATGTACATGAAGCCGTACACACTTGACTGTGCTGACAGTCGATCAGTTCTCACCTCTGCATACGTCTGGCTGATTGTTTCAATGAGATTCTGGTGCTGCTGCAGAGCCTCCTCCAGGTCTTCTATACCAGAGGGTATCTTCAGGTTCTCGCACGTGTTCTGCCACACAATAACTTGGGCCAGGTACTGAAAGTGTAAATTAGTCACCACAGTGTCATTCAAACTTCACAGTTCTTTTGTTTCTAGTTTTTTTTTTTTAATTTAAACAAATTAAAGTTCTGTTCTAAGTTCTGTTCTATCTCCACAATGAAGATCAGCAACAGTGCACCACTGTAGTCCTTGGGAATATTAGCGTGGTGAGGCCCCAATCTCTTCCAAGGTGCGACTCTCATACCGCTGTCCAAAAATTATGAGAACATTTCTAGTTTAAAGTAGGAAGATAACATCAAGAAATGGGTGGACAGCAATGTGTTATTGCATATCAAATTTCGTCCTTTATAGGACGAAATTTTTTGTCATTTGAAGCCCTACTCTGGCTTTTGCCAGGGGCTGCAATATACGCAGGCCATAAATATGGCCAAATGTCTGAACGCGGTTTCTGGGACCTCTCCACGGCGATCCTCATCCACATGGTGGCACATTGTGTCATCGAGTGTTTATCGCTTGTGTGATGTCCTGGTGGGGTAGAAATTCAGTTCAGTTCAGTTCAGCAATGTGAGAGTGAACATCCAGGGCAAGAGAGAGAGTGTGCTGAAGATCTATTTCAGCCAGTCTTTACTGTGGAGACTCAGGTCGACCCAGCCTTGAGAGGGTACCAGCTATAGTCCTGGGAAGTAAAGGCAGACGGCATGATTTGACCACATCACTCATCGAGTGCTGATTGATCTATAAAATGTAGGTCCAACCCTATATGCCCAATATGCATGAAGGGTGTTACCTTTTTTTTTTTTTTTTTAACTTTTACTGTGGAGGTGACACAACTTCAGTGATCCTAGAAAAAGTATCGCAGTGGAAAGAGCCTGCTTTATCACCACTAAAAGTTAGAATTAATTTAGTGGTCAGGTAATGAAGTTTTTTTTTAACCTTTTTTTAAAAACTATTTATGACTCTAGAATACATCCAACTGACTAAAATGTTGGTATCTCATCACCTGATGCTTATACATCTGTATCTGATTAGATAAGTTAAACTGAAATTCTGGCAGTATACAGGTTCACTTATGGACAGGTTCAGAAAGCAAGGGCAAACTACTGTACATAAAAGTTGCAGATTAAAACCATAAACAAACCACAAATGCTGAGATTGGTCTGTACAATATCCTGTAGGGTGATATGCAACTGCTTTTTAACAGATGAATTATACTGGAGCTAATGGATATTATTATTCTTATGATCTCTCAGCTGGTCAGTTTAGGCCCACGTAACAATATTTTAATTCTTATGATCTCTACGCAGGTCATTTTAGGCCCACGCAATAATATTATAATTAATAACTGTATTCAACCTTCACACCTCACAAACTTCAACAGTAGGTATCAATTCATGTGCTGAAAACTTTCCACTACACACAAAAAAAAAAGAAAAAGAAAACACATACACACACAAACTGCCAATAACAGCCTGTATTTACCAATTGTGTATTGTAGGCAGAGCGGTCTTTGAGCCTGAAATTTAGAGCTGCATAGTTAGTGCAGTCGCACAGACTGTGCAGGTTGGGATTTTTGTTGTTGTTGTTGCCCCCAACAGAAAAAATCCTCCATCTTACAGAGGATTTGAACCTCTATCTCCCGCATGAGAGCTTAATGTTCCTAAACAAGACCTTTGCATGCTATAGCAAAAGACCATAGCAATTTAATTCCTCCGTTTCTTGTCTCCTTTTCATTTATCTTTCCCACTGACACAGGTTCCAATTATTTTTCATAATGTAACCAAACATGACTTCTAATGGTGACATTTGGCTTAAATATTTAAGAAACTGAGATAAATATATGGAAAGCTCATATTTCCCAAATTATTACCTAAAGCATATAAACAGACTTCAGAGTGTCTAGAGATTAAACATCTACAGCACTAAAACTAAACTCAGGATATACAAAACATGCGTTAGGACAGTTCTCCTCTATGGAGCAGAAACTTGGAAAACAGACACAGATAGAGAGCATGCTTAGAGGTTTTGAGGGAAGACTTCTCAGAAGATTGTTGGGGTCCATATGGGAAGATAAAATCAGCAATTCTAGATAACAACAAATGACAGACTTAGAAGATGTAAATTTAGAAATCAAAAAAATGAAGATGGAAGTGAACTGGACACGTCCTCAGAATGAAAAAAGAGAGATGCCGAGAAAGGCAATGAAATGGACACCATAAGGACAGCGAGGAAAAGGCAGGACCAGGGGCACTTGGAGGCGAACCTATGAGGCTGAACTCGAGACTGCGTAAAGGACACAACTGGAGATAGAGAGGCTGGCTCAGGATCGAACTGAGTGGCGACAGTTTGTCTCTGCCTTATGTGTTTCAGGGCAGGAGGAGGACTGATTGACTGATATAAACATGCTTACTTGTTGTCTCTGCCTGATGTGCTTCAGGGCAGGAGGAGGACTGATTGACTGATATAAACATGCTTACTTGTTGTCTCTGCCTGATGTGCTTCAGGGCAGGAGGAGGACTGATTGACTGATATAAACATACTTACTTGTTGTCTCTGCCTTATGTGCTTCAGAGCAGGAGGAGGACTGATTGACTGATATAAACATGCTTACTTGTTGTCTCTGCCTGATGTGCTTCAGGGCAGGAGGAGGACTGATTGACTGATATAAACATACTTACTTGTTCAGCTTTTTTATGAAAGACAACTGACATGCGCAGCACAGTGCTCCTATCTTCAAGTGCAGCAGCCAGGCTCTTCCATTCCCTCTCCAGCTTGCCACCTTCCATTCTGATGGTGTTGGAGGCATAATGGCCGGAGTCACACATGCGCTGGGCCATGCCTAGAATCCTTGTGATATTCACATACACATTCTGAAATGACACACCAGTCAGTCAGTGACATGTCCATTGCAGACCTTGATTGCATAACAATCGTCCGAAAAACTTCTTGATCACACTGAGCAAGATGTCCTGCCTCCAATACACCCAGCTGGAGATCTACCGCCACATCTTGCACCCATCTTCTCTTTGGCCTTCCTCTTCCTCTTTTCCCAGGCATATACCCCTCCATTTTTGTTCTCTCTAAACTTCTGGCTGGAAAAACCCGACAGACTCGTGTCTGTGGAAAAATCTAAATTTTGAGCACTTTTAGGCTATCTCAGTTTTTGCCTCCAGTTTGCTCCAAAATGTCAAATTACACATTTAGATTACCTATTCTACATCTACAGTGTCTATTCATGTGTAAAATAATTGTCTGGGACCCAATGTGAAATGGTAAGACACCAAAAGTTGTTGGGGAAATTTCAGAGTAAAATCTGTTTTATTCCTCATTTGCCTATCTCTTTTTCTGGGACCAGTTTGCTTCAAAATGTCAAATTACACATCTAGATTACCTTTTCTACATCTAAAGTGTCTATTCATGTGTAAAATAATTGTTTTGGACTCAATGGCATGTGGTACAACACTAAAAATTGTTGGGGAAATTTCTTAGTAAAACCTGTTTTTTCCTCATTTGCCTATCTCCTTTTCTGCTACCAATTTGCTTCAAAATGACAAACTACTCCTCTAGAGTATCTGTTAGAGTGTGAAATGATAGTTTGAGACAAAAATTTTAATTTCTGGAAAATGTCAGTTTTTGGTTGGTAAAAAAATTAGATCACACAAAAACTGTTCAATAAAATTCCACATCCACCCATCCCCAATCCATATTGTAAAATAAAAACTATTTTTGGGATAAAGTGAAACTAAAAACTAAGTTCTTGGGTTGAGGTAGATGGTTTTTGAGGATCACCGTGAACTTTGTTTCAATAGTTTTTTCTTCTTTCCCCATAACAATAGACGCATATCATTTGTAATTATATGTTAAACCTTTACCAAGCGTTCAGTATGTGGGTCAATCACTTCTAAACTGGCTAGTGCTTTGTTTACTGCAAAAAACTTTTATTTCCTTTTTTTTTTTAATGTGTGTGTGTGTTTGTTTTTGTGGTCATAAGTGTGAACAGTCGTAAGTCGCACATGTCAGAGAGAAGGTGTACTATCATTCATTTTGTTCTTGAATATTTGAACTCTTTTAGTATCAGATAATCACAAATTTGAACTATCAAAAAGATCTACTTTAAGTCAGCCAACATTTTTGAGTCTGGATGGGTTTAAAAAAAAATGTACACAGACACCGGGCAAAGCTAATAATTTATCAAGTGTACATTGATGTAATAACCGTCTCTGATAAAGGATAAGGTTAAACTGAAGTAGACAGGACAGACTTCACTGCATCTGGTTACCCTATCTGACTCGGTCTCTCTCCACAGAATGATTAGTCTCCTGCTGACAGTGTCACACAGAGCACTAACTCCATTGCTCCAGCGATGACTCCCAATGATCTCCCCATTAAAAACTACATTTGTCGACATGTTCATGAAATGATTTGACTACCTTCACAGTGCAAGGCAAACATCCTGACCATTCTGTCACGGAGACTTCCATGTCTATCTGTGATATAAACATATATAAGGGGTAATTGATCTTTGGACGAATCAACCAGCATATAATGGGCTGCCTAATACAGAAAGAGCTACAGAATATAGGTAAAGACAAGACAAACCTCTGCACTTGTGGCAAACTGGCAATGCTCTGATTCAAGCTCCACTGCCATCTGGTGACAGGTTCCAATCTCTGTATAGTTGACTAGAAAAAGGTCTCGGTTGTGACTGATCCACTCAAACATCTGGGGACATTAGAATTATATAGTTTTTTTTTTTAAATTTACAATCCTAACTGTAAACATTATGTTAAAATTAATACTTTTTTTTTAATCTACATTGTTTCTACTGCTTCTTCTTCTGCTTCTTCTTCTTCTTCTTCTTCGTCTTCTTCATATTCACTGACTGTAAGCTCTGGCGAAAAGTACTGGCTGTTCGCCCACTTCTTGACTTTAATCTCATTCCAGAAATTGAGTTTTGTTTGCTCATCCTTTTTACAAATATGGCTTTTCTGTGCTCACACTGTTGGTACCTTGCCTCTCAGATAGATGCAGTCTTGACTAAATTCCAGAAGTGGACGAACAACCAGAACTTTCCACCAAGTTTACAGCCTGTGAACACTAAGAAGAAGAATTCATTGTGAAACACAGAATAAGACACCTGTAATGTTGTTCCTGATTGGGGGGACAAGGTCAGAGGACTAGTGAAACAGGAGGAAAGCGAGATAAGCAGGTCTCGAGTTTTCCGTGGTGAGTGAATAGGGATACGAGGAAAGCGTGAGACTTGAACGGATGGTGTGAACCCAGAAAGGGTAGGAAGTCAGCTGAATTTTGGACCTGGATGTGTGCGGTCGAATGAGAGAGAACAGCTGAGAAGAATGCAAAGCGTCTGACCACGTGTATTTGTTTGAGAGCAGAAATGAATGTCTACAGATCACAAGTTTCAATTGTTTACAAGTACAAGGTACATTAGGTGAGCCTGATTCCGATGTATGATCCAAAAGGTAATGGCAGAGAGAATCACCGTGTGAGATAGTTGGAAATGTCATCATGAATCAGCCATGCCTAGCAACCACGGGAACACAAGTGAGCTCATGGACAATGCAGTTGTGGGAACAGCCAATAAAGATCAATAACTGAGAGTTGGTCGTCTGGTGTATTCTTAGTAACTGTGTGTACCTAAGAAAGTCAGTACAGCAATGTGACGAGTTAAATCAAACCCCTAGCAGAGCCACATTGCAACATCTTATCCGAGCAATAAATAGTATAATAAAATAAGAAGAAGAAAAATTCATTGTGAATCACATCAATGGACCACAGAATAAGATTGCAGACATCTTATCCAAGCTATAAATGGTATAATAAAAGAAGAAGAAGAAGAATTCATTGTGAATCACATCAGTGGACCACAGAATAAGACTACAGACATCTTATCCGAGCTATAAAAATTATAATAAAATAAGAAGAAGAAGAATTCACTATGAATCACTTCAATGGACCACAGAATAAGATTGCATTTTATCTAATCTATAAATGGTATAATAAAATAAGAAGAAGAAGAATTCACTATGAATCACTACAATGGACCACAGAATAAGATTGCATTTTATCTGAGCTATAAATGGTATAATAAAACAAGAAGAAGAATTCACTATGAATCACATCAATGGACCACAGAATAAGAGTGCAGACATCTTATCCCAGCTATAAATGGTATAATAAACTTGTAACCAGTAGTTATTCTAAATGACGATCAGAAAAGTGTTTAATGAGAAACATGCTACCATCATATGCCTGATACTCTCCCATAAAAGTCCTTTTTCTTTTACCACTGTCAATCTTGTTAAACATACTAGAAGCTCACAGTACAGGACTGTGAGGTACATGGCGGAGGTTATGGGGGAGCAGTTTTGTCTGGATCTTTTCTCCAGGGTACGCACGTGTGTTGAAAAATGAACAAGACGTGTGTTGAAAAATGAACAAGACGTGTGTTGAAAAATGAACAAGACGTGTGTTGAAAAATGAACAAGACGTGTGTTGAAAAATGAACAAGTGGACAGACTGGCTGGTCTGCAAAACTTGGTGGAATACTGATGCAAAATAAGGCAGACGTGCTTAGGGCCATTTGGGAAGGCATGTACAATTCAGAGGAGAAAAAAGATGACCATAGTCTGGTAGGAGTGATGCAGCAGGGAGTGATGAGGGGTTTCTGGCTGATGCTCGATACTCAGAGGAAAGGCAAAACGGATGTTCATCAGAATGCTAGTGGCACCATTGGCATTGGAACTCTGCATTGGATGCTGAAGATGGAGAGGGAGCGCTTATGGAAATGCCCCGACTGCTGTGATGTCAGTTCTTGAATCAACTCAACTCAACTCAGTATAGGACTGCAAAAATCTTATCCAAATTTTAAGTTTTAATTTTTAGTTACCCTAAATATTAATAACTGCTTCTTCATCTGTGTTCACCCTCAAAATGGTGGTAGGCATTCTGTGTTGTAATTTACAGCTAGGCTGTGATATCTGCACCTTTTGTTTCAACGCATCTGATTTTAAGCAAAACCCTTAATTAATCACCTTTATGACTTATCCCAAAATGGGGCCCCGTAACATTCAAGGGGAAACGTCAATAACCAAAGTGTTTAAAGAAATGCTAATTTTTGCTGCAGTCAATCTTGTGGCATCCGAACACTGACCTTCTCTACATCCTCCTCAAATATTCTCAGCTGCAAACACTGCTCAAGCCTCATTTTCTTGACAGTCCACAGCTGGTTGAGGTGCTGCTTGGTAGACTGAAGATTGTCCAGAAGCTGGGAGATTTGGGGAACAGCAGACTGGAAATCAGCATTGCCAGATATGACATACTTTCTGCCACTAGACCCTGGAGAATGATCAAGTAAACAAGTGAGGTACTGACAAAACAAGGGTTGAAGCAATTGCTGTATTTTCTGTGTGTAAGACAATAGGCTTTCCAAAATTATTTTACATTAAAATTTGGAGGGTTACAGACTGTTCTTCTTCTTCTTTTGTTTGCTTGAAAAAAATTATCTATAACTGCAATGCTGTTCTAGTATGAACTTCACTGTATACGAACTATGTCAATTTATTTCTTAATGGCAGTCATCTTATATGTGGTTTATGATAATGATGATCATGATGACATATGTACAGTGTGTGTTACTGGAATGATCAGGGTCTTATATCTGCAAAAATGTGTTTGTTGATGAAACAGAAAATTATTTGCTGTTTTTATTGTTAGTATTCCATTGCTGTGAACTCCTGGTTGGTCATCTGTGTCTGGGCTTTGGTCTTGTTCCAGGAAATGAGCATGTGTGCACATCTGTGTTTTTTTTTTCAGATCTGGCTTTTAATATGTAGACTTCTGGTTCCTCGCCTATAACTTCAAAGGAAAAAAATTATCTTGTGTGCACATCTGTTTTTTCAGATCTAGCTTTTAATATGTAGACTTCTGGTTCCTCACCTCCAACTTCAAAGGAACAAAACAATCTTGTGTGCACATCTATTTTTTCAGATCTGGCTTTTAATATGTTGACTTTTGGTTCCTCGCATCCAACTTCAAAAGAAAAAATGAGCATGTGTGCACATCTGTTTTTTCAGATCTGGCTTTTAATATATAGACTTTTGGTTCCTTGCATCCAACTTCAAAAGAAAAAATGAGCATGTGTGCACATCTGTTTTTTCAGATCAGGCTTTTAATATGTAGACTTTTGGTTCCTCGCCTCCAACTTCTGAATCGTGTCCAGAATTACAGAAGCAGTTGCTGCAGCAAGCCTCTCTTTCAGGTGGTGGAAGTTCTTTGGCTACTCTGCACTATTTTAAGCCTCATGGTCACACAAAACATTCAAATTCTTGGAACATTTTAAGATGCCATACCTATAAATACTTCTTTTATAATAACGATTTAAAATCCAGGCACTCATTCTCAATTACCCTGTCTTTATGCACACTCAAAAGCTTACAGATCACTTCTCCACATTCCTCATCCCCCTTCTCCTAAACAATATGAAGCCTTACCAACATACTCCCCAGTGATCCTCTGTAAAATCTGATGCCCTTCCATGGCCAGCTGCTCCACTGGGGCCATCGTGACTCTTTTCTTCAGCTGGTTGTGCTCCTCCAGCACCATCTGTGCTCCATTCAAATCATCAGGCAACTCTGGGTTGGTGAGGATCTCCCCAAGCTCATCCAGCTTGTCCAGCAAGTCTAAAGCTTTCCAAATAAATTCCTCCAACATCTGACGAACACAATCATAAATTTTCAGGTTAATGAAAACAATCATAAATTCTCATATTAATGTACATAATCATAAATTCTCATGTTAACTCTCTGAGTCATCATCAATCAGCAAGTCCTTTACAGAACATCGCTCTCCTCACAGCATGCCTGAAAGTGTCCCTTACCCCAGCCAGCGCTCCAGCCCCAGGTACATTCAATGCCATTGCATCTTCTATGTCCTGTATCCATCTTCATGGAGGTCAAACCCTGCCTTGCTTTTCACAAACTGTACCCTCCATCACTGTCTTTTCCAAGCCACCATGACGTCTGATGTGGCCAAAATACTTCAACTTTCGGGACAGGACGCTGTTTATGAGCTAGTTCTCTGTTAAATGCATGTAGAATGTCGATGTTTTTCCTCTTCTTAATTCAAGAAGCCGGGAGCTTGACCACTTCATGCTGAGACCTCCAAAGTAACTTTTACATCACATAATATTTCCTGAAAATCTCTTCATGTATACTATGTCAGAATACTCAGGGTATGATAACTAGTTCCCTTCTCACTGTCTTCTCCTCACAAGAATCTTTAAATAAAGAAAGTCTTTTTTTTCTTCCTCTTCTTCTTCTTCTTCTTCTTCTTCTTCGTGTTCACCAGCTGTAAACTCCAATAGAAAGTTCTAGTTGTTACACATCTGGCTTATTTGTATGCAGGCTGTTGGTTCCTCGCCTCTCAGGCAGATGCTCAGACTTTAAAGGAAACAACCCTAATTAGGAAATGCTCATTAGAGAGGTAGTGGGTCTATTCTTTGTTCTCCAAAATGGAGCCCCAGAACCTATACGGGGATAAGTAAAGTTAGGTTAGTTGCGTATCCTTTACAGGATATTGCAGAACCAACCCCAACAGCCCCTGGCTGTTGTGTGGTTCCCCCTTGGCAAATTTACGTCCAGTAGTTTGCCATTGCTTTCTGGACAGTCAGCTTTCTTGGTACCACTGTCGAAACCAACGCAAGGCGCATGGCCCGCAGGACAAGTAAAGTAAAGGACACAATGATGCCAGTGGTGTATCCAATCCTACAATGACATATCAGGTTTATAACCCATACGGCAATGACTGATGTGATCAACATCCTGCCAACCACTTTAACTTCCTAAGACATAAGCTGGTACCCATTTTATGCTGAGTCGACATGAGAGCCAAGGTCAATTCTAAAAAGGAAAAAAACTGACTCTATGCATATTTGAACCTTAACCTTCGGGCTGGCAGGCGAGCGTCTAGTCATTACACCACCACAACTTTTAAAGAAATCACTGCTACCAATTTAACAAGACTGGGTGTTAACCTCAGGTAAACATGTTAAAAGATACCCAGGTAATGCAATATACAGGTGACTTGTTGCTATCAGCAGATCTCTTACCTGTGCTGTTTACAGATTACAGAAAGACTTATTAAAATAGAAAAGCGTCATCAACAACATAAATTGCAGATAACCATCTCCCTCTGGAAATACCAGCACAGCATAAATCATTTGCAATGTATTCTATCCTGAAAAGCAAGCTATAACAAGCTCAAAATACCTTGCATTTCGAAATGTTTAAAAAAAAATCTGAAACAACAACCAGGAATAGAGTCCACCACAACCACCACCTCCTCCTGCTCCTCCGTCTTCTTCTTCTTAACGTTCAATAGCTGTTAACTAAAAGAGAAAGTTCTGATTGTTAGTCCATTTCTGGACGTTCCTCTTGTTCCAGAACTTGAGTTTTGGATGCACGTCCATTTTACAGATTTGGCTTATTTGTATGCAAACTGATGGTTCCTAGCCTCGCAGACTGATGCACGCTGACCTGAAAGGAAACACCCCTAATTAGTCACCTCCTAAAATATGCTTGTTGTGGGGTGGGGGCAGTGGGTCTATTCTTTTTCTCCCACAATGGGGGGGGGAGGGGGGGTGCAGGGCCCGTAATCCCCATACGAAGAACACACTGACAAGAGATATAACCCTTTGTGCTGGACACATAGTCGGCACCTATGCATTAGGCATTGCAAACAGGCTTCACAATTCTCAAATACCTGGTTCAATCCAGCTGCTGTAGAGTTAGCAGCAGAACACTTTGCATAGATTTTGACAATGAAGGGAGCACTGAATGTTCAGGGAGCAATGGCAAACTACTGAACATAAAATTTACTGCACAGTAAAACCACAGAAAGCAAACAGAAATGCTGGTTTGGTTCTGCAACGTCCTTAAAGAATTCACAACTAACAACTAAATACAATACATACACAGGCTGAGGCATAAAGACAGTTTATCAAAAGAAACAGAACCAGGTAATCAATACATTATGAAAAGAGAAAAATTTTAACTGTAATGTAACAACTGGCAAGACTGATCGGGAAAAGAGATAAAAGAAGTTCATTCATTCGTTCAGTAGCATGTCCCTCGCTGAACCTCGCTGCCATAACAACCCTCCGGAAAACCTTCCTATCCTGAGCAAGATGTCCTGCGTCTGATACACCCATCTGGAGATCATCTGCCACATCCTGCACCCATCTTCTCCTTGGCCTTCCTCTTCCTCTCTTCCCACGTATATACCCCTCCATTATTGTTCTCTCTAGACTTCCATGACGTTTCAAGTGACCAAAATATTTCAATTTTCTTTGTTTTATTGTCTTTACTAGCCAACCCTCTTCAATATTCAGCTCTTGAAGTATGGATGCATTTGTTCTTTTCTTTACCCAAGATATTCTTAGAACCTGTCTGTAACATTTATATTCAAATGCATTTATGCGCTGTTCCGCTTGTTTAGTAAGTGTCCAGGTCTCACAGGCGTATGTTGCAATGGGAAAGATGCATGCTCTTAAAATCTGACCTTTGTAATTCTATCTGTACAATTCCATAATTTATTCAGTTGTTTTAGTCTTTGAAGAGCAATTGATAGTCGCCGTTTAATTTCTTTCATTGTGTCACCATTGTTGGTAACCAGTGACCCAAGATATTCGAAATTTTCCACCACTTCCAATCCTTCCTCATTTACATATATTTCCTTCTCCATGGCAGTTTTGTTTGTATGCATTATCTTTGTTTTTGCTATGTTAAGAAATAAGTTATGATTTTCACTATTTCTTTGGAGTGAGGTTAATAAGTTTTCTAAACCATTTTGTGATGTTGATAGTAATACTGTATCATCAGCATAACGAATTTCTGGTATTTCATGACCACCGATTTTTAGGGCATCATATTGTTCCTTGTTTATATCATCTCTTACATTTCTCATTATATTTTCGGTGTACAGGTTGAACAAATACGGTGACAGCACACATCCCTGACGGACTCCTTGCTTGATGCCAAACCAGTCTGATGTCTCTCCATCTATTCTGACTGCTGCTTGTTGGTCTTGATAGAGCATTTTAATGAGCTGCACTATATGTGATGGAAAGCCCATATTCCTCATGATTTCCCAAAGCTTCTGATGTTGTACACAGTCAAATGCTTTTGAATAATCCACAAAACATAAGAACAGATTTACATTAAATTCTCTACACTTCTCTATTATTAAACGCATGTTGAATATATTATCTCTTGTTCCTCTTCCCTGTCTAAATCCAGCCTGAGCTACATTAATCTCTTCTTCCATTTTCTTATGCAGTCTTCTCATTATAATTTTTAGTAGAATTTTACTAGCATGACTGATCAGGGCAATAGTTCGATAGTTTGTACATAATTTCAGGTCACCCTTTTTTGGTATTGGAATGAAGATAGTTCTCTTCCAGTCTTTTGGCCAAATACCATATTTCCATATCTTTTCACATAATGCATGATAGATTTTTATGCTTTCTTCTCCTCCCGCTTTAATCAATTCAGCTGGTATCTCATCACATCCAGGTGATTTACCATTTTTCAGGCTCCTTATTGCCCATGAAATTTCATCTAATGAAGGTTCAGGTTCTGCCTCTACTGTTACTGGTTCATGTATATCATTCATATCCTCACTGTCATTCATATCATACATTCCGCTGCAGTATTCCTGCCATCTTCCTAGAATTTGTCTAGATTCTGTTAAAGTATTTCCCAACCTGTCACAAATAACACTTAACTGAGGTTGAAAATTTCTTGTCAATAACGTCATTTCCTTGAACATTTCGTAATCTCTTCCATTTTTATGATGCTGCTCTATTTTAATACAGCAATCTTGTACATACTGATTTTTATCCTTTCTTGTGTACTTTCTTATTTCTCGTGTTAAAAATTTATACTTCATCCTACTGTCATTGGTTTCTCCTTTCTTTTTCAGTTCCCTTCGTTGTTTTATTAGTTCTAACGTGTATGGTGTGATCCATGGTTTATGTTGCTTAGTCCTGGTGGGTATTAAGTCTTTAGCTACTGTTATCAAGATATCCCTAGCTTGTACCGCCAGTTCATCAGGTGTCATTTCCTCTTGTACAGACATAAAGACCTCAAAACGGTTCTTCACTTCTACGTTGTATGCATCTGGTATTTTTGTGAGATCAAATCGAAATGGCCTTGGTCCTCAGGTAAGCTTTTTGAGTTTTAATTTCAGATCTGCTTCTAGTAACTGATGATCTGTATCGCAATCTGCACTTCGCAGGGTTTTTGCAGATGTTATGCTCGATCTCCATCTTCTTTGTATTAAAATGTAATCTATCTGATTTTTGGTAACACCGTCAGAGGATGTCCATGTGAAAAGCCTTCTAGGGTGTTGTTTATAAAGTGTGTTAGCTATTGTTAATTCATTTTCTATGCAAAATTCAATCAATTTTTCTCCTGTTTCATTTCTATTACCCAATCCAAATTTTCCTAAAACGTGTCTCTCATTTTCAGCTCTGCCTGTACCTACTTTAGCATTAAAATCTCCCATTATTATTATTATATCATTTTGTTTAATTTTATTTAATGTGTCTTGCAGTATGGCATAAAAATCGTCAATTTCACTCTCCTCTGCTGTTGAAGTAGGTGCATATACCTGCATGAAAGTTATGTTTTTTGGACGGCTTTTAAGTAAAAGAAGTTAAAAGACAAAATTCAAAACACCTTTTCTCTTAACAAAAAAAACCCACATCAGAACATGCATCCACAGTGGTGGCCAAAAGTTTAAGACCACCTAGAAAACAACTTATTTTCACACATTTATGGAGCATTTATCAACACTGATTTTAAAGCAAAATGACAGTTTCAATGATTGCCTTTCAGAGCCCTAAAATAGGAGTGTATGCAATATTCCAAGAAAATCACATATTTTTTAGGCGGTCTCAAACGTTTTGACAGGGAACGTAACACTGACAACCACCATATGGTAGGAATTCCAATAAGAAAGCTTAAAATGACTTTATTTCCATACCATCTTAAAATGTTAGGTATAAGGTGCCAGACCTACATTTTAACAAAAATGACAGCTTTGAAAGGTGAGGAATAATATGCATCAAACCAGCTGCCTTAACTTGCAGAAAATTCATGTTCATTTTACACACCACCATGTGGTCACAGACAAAATGTCCATACAGCTAGGGTATTTGAACTTGAGGTCACTCAGATAGAGAGATAGGTGCATTTGTCATGAGTAAAGTTCCAATTTCTTCTTCTTTTTCCTTCTCTCAGTACAGTATTGGCCCCTGGGACACTCACTCAAAACCCTTTGCAGACCTGTTAAATTATTGGTTAGATTCTGTAGGTACAGAGTGAAGCAGCCTCTCTGTGTGGGTTACTGAGCCCTATTTTAGAGAACAACCAAAGTAAACCCAATGCCAGCACGTCAGAAAAAAAGGCCATTAATTAAGAGTTTGCTGTATTGGATGTGTTGAGCAGTGTAAAAAGGCAACTGTCTACTACGAGGTTAGAGGAAACCTAATTTACATAAATAATAGCAGATCTTAAATTCCCCCTGGCTTAGACAGGAAAACCCAACATAAAAGTAAAATACAACTGGATGAAGGCCAAGTGAGACCTCCATTGTTATGACCTGCGACTGTGTGTGCTGACAACTATACCACAGGGAATAGAGAAGCAAATGAATGATGGGAGACTAGTTGTGTGTGCAACACAATAGATATGTAAAAGCTGGCGCAAAAGGACAAGTTTGTTGTACACCTGCAGTGAATCAGACTTCAATAGTGAGTTTGGTCATGTTTAGTCAAAGACTGTGACAGAGAAGGTTGGCTGACTGGCTGTGCTGTTACCTCAAGAACAAATATCCCAACGAACAATGCAATCCTGTCATGAAAGAGTGCAAGTTGTGTTTGTCCATCCTGTGTGTCTCGGAGGATATTATGAGTTCAGTTATACAGTGTCGGCCCCACCACCTACACTGCACAACAAACTAGAAGATCATAAAAGGATAGAGGTGGGCTCAGTGTATGCAGAAAGGTGCAGATATCCCAACCTAGCTGTAAACCATAACATTACCTGTCAACCGCCTTTTAAGGGTCAGCACACAGGAAACTGAAGAGAAAGAAGAAAAAGGAGGGGGAGAGAAAGATAAGGATGAGGAGGAAGCAGAAGAAGGTGGAGGAGAGAAAGATAAGGATGAGGAGGAAGCAGAAGAAGGTGGAGGACGAGGAGAACAAGAAAAAGAAGCAAAAGAAGGCGGAGGAGGAGCAGAACAAGAAGAAGAAAAAGACAGTGGAGGAGGAAGAACGAGAAGCAGAAGAAGGCAGAGGAGGAGGTGAAGCAGATGAAGAAGAAGCAGGAGAAGGAGGAAGAAGAAGAATAAAGTAGCCAATCTCAAGCTACTCATTATTTGCTTTCCTTGTGGGCTCTAGTAACTCAGTGACAGCAGATCCAATTATCAAGAGAAACAAAATATTTTCATGGACTGATCTGAACTTAGGGGTGTGAGTTGCAGACTACCCGGAGTCACCAAGGGCTTTTTGAACTGAAATGCTATAGACAGACAGACAGACAGACAGACACACAGACAGATAAGATAGAATACCATGGACCAAGAGGAAAAAATACTCACACTCTAAAAAACCTGAACGTCAAGGAAGACTGGCTAGTAAATTTGGAAACTGAAATATTTTTGCCAGACCAAACGCTTGGGCCGATTGGAAAAAATTGTAGCGCATGGCATAGTGCCAGGAAAGAGAAGCAGGAACCGACCAGCATGAAGATGGACACAGTACATAAATAGCACCTTGAGCAGAAAAGTGCATGAAGCAAGAGCTCTGGCAAGAGACCGAGCTTCTTTCAGTCAGGCTGCGATGTTCTGCAAAAGACCTGCTACGATGATGACGATGATGATGATAACGACCCCGATGATGATGACGATGATGATACAGAAGATGACATTGTGAACTTACCAGACGCAGCTGAATCCACTGCTCATGATCATATTCTAGTGTGCCATCAAACTCCCTGGTCAGCTGGCAAGGTTCTATAGCTCTGTTCAGACTATCTAATGATATCATGTTGGTCTGAAACAGAATGGAACACTCTCAATTATCTGCATGTTGTAGATACTTGACTATATAGAAGTTAATTAAGAAAGCTCAGTAACTGTAAAATTATATAAAATCTACTTCTTCTTCTTTTGTATGCACCCTTAAAAGGGTGGTTGGCATGCTGTGTTGTGGTTTACAGCTAGGTTGTGAAATCTGCAGCTTTTGGCCCAACACAGTAAACCACAATGAGCAATTCTTCTACTATATGATTGTTAAGAGGCAGTGAGTTTATCTCCCATTGTAGGACTGAACAGGCATGGGAATTCCCAGAGTGCAGCAGTGTCGATTGTGATAACTTAACACAACACAATTTACCTCAAAGTTATATTTGGAACTACCAAGGCTTGTCCTCTGCTTTTCCCAGAATTTCTCAGGTTTAATTATGAAGGCCATGTTAATATTTCCAGGAAAACATTCCTGAAATGAAATACAAAATTTACTTAGTATTCAAGAAGTACACATATGAACATCATTAGATAGCAAGGAAAATATCCTCAAAACAAAGTGCATTTCTGCAGATCTCATTCATGATTTACACTTCCTGTTTCATTTTGCAACAAAACATGAAAGTCAACAGGCAAAACTATAGGTCAACCAAGAATTATAATCATTGAAGAAATTGAAAATGACAAAATTTATATACTGTAGCTAACAATAATGGTGTCAAAAGAAGGATGGCAATAGCAAAAGTTAGTTGCGCATCTTTTACAGGGCGTTGCAGAACCAACTCCAGCATTTTCTAGTTGTTGCGGTTTTTCTAGGCAAATTTACTTTCAGTAGTTTACAAATGGTCGGCTCTCGTTACACTGTCAAAATAATGCAAGACTGCTGCCAAATAATCTGCAGCTGGGATCAAATCTGGCACTCTGGCATTATGAAGTGTTTTTGCAACACCAAGCCACAGATACTAACAGAAATAGCAAACAAAGCAGAGGTTAAACCACACTAAAAATCTATAGCATAGCACCAACAACCCAAACTGTGAACACACATCTGTCCTGCAACAAAGAAATGAATCTCATTTACAAACTTTTTTTTGCGATTACTAATCAAGACAAATGTGGAGCTTTTGAACTTCAATGTTAGAAAACAAAATATCAGAATACTATGGATCAAGAAGAGAAATGTGACATTCTTTAAGTTCTGAACTTCAAAATAAATTGGTTCATGAACAGTAACATTTATTAGAAACTGAAATACATTGGCCCTTTTAATGCCCAGTTGTTTAGAAAGATAGCTTTCACATGTGATGCCAAAGAAGAATAAGTAGCATTAAGTGAAAAGACAAGATCATAAACACTGAGGTAATAGAGATAGCAGGTTTTCTCAATGCTCAGTCTCCAAAGGCTACGGAGGCTGGGTCACACCTTGGGATTGGAGCATGGTAGAGTCCTTGAAAACATCCTCTATGGTGAATTACAGAAGATGTCAGCAGTATCTACTTTAATATAAAGATGTGTGCAAGTGGGACCTGAATGATACAGGTACTTAGGTAGATTCATGAGAACAAAAGGCCATGGAACTTGTTAAGTGGAGGAGAACAATCAGAAAGGGAATATACATAAAGGAAAATATTGCAGAAAGGTTTACAGCTGAGTGTGGAGAAGATGCACAATAAATACATGTGATGGCAACAGCTGTCGTGAAATCCCATGCTCCAACTGTGAAACACTTTTCTTAATGCAAGTTTATTCAATTCTAGCAAAATCTTCTTCCACTTGTAGTCCTGTCAAAAAATGTGCTGCAAGTATTTACAATAAAAAAGGGGAAATTTGTTCCTGTATTCCACTCTACATATACTTTGGCCCCCCCCCCCCCCTTTTTTTTTTAAGAATCCATGCATTTCATCACTATTCTTTCTAATCCACTGTTAATTTGGCTGAAGTATTTTAGTTTCTGAGAAACGATGAGGTTTGTCAGTCAGTCTTTTTCAAAGTTCAAATGATTTTTAGAGGTCAGTATTTTCCTTCTAACTGGGAGTCGCCATGGCGTTGGCGGCTTTACACCCGCCTGTGGATCGGAAGGTCATGGGTTCGTGTCCCGACGGAGCTGGACTTTTTTAAAGGAAGTCACCATGGCGTTGGTGGCTAGATCAGAAGGTCGTGTGTTCGCATCCTGACATTTTTTAAAAATTACCTTGACTCCCAAGTCGACCCAGCCTTGGGTGGGTACCAGGTGCAGTCCTGGGAAGTAAAGTCGGCCAGCATGATGCTGACCACATCACCCACCAAATGCCGATTGGTCTAGACCTATAATCCCAACACATCTAAAGGCGTGGAAAAGGAACCTTTTTATATTCCTTTTGTCTATAGCATTCTGAGAGTTTGTAAAATTTGAGTTTAACAACTAATTTTTAAAAATAAAAAATTAAACATATTTTAGTGATTGTGAAATGTTCATGCATCACACCCAGGGGTTATGATAAGAAAGATGTCTGTTCTCAACACACACACACAATTATTTGTTGCCAGAGGTGTGCCACATGCTATCTGTATGCCGTTAACTCTTTGTAATGCTAGGTTCATTCTCCTTCTGAATTCTTGTGAACTGGTTTCTGAAATTTGACGTTTGACCAGGAAGAATCTCTATACATTTTCAGTCTAGAGTAATGTTCAACAAGAAAAGTCAAAATTAGACATTTTCGACTAATATTTTCATTTAAAGTGACATTAGTGAATGCATTACCTGCAAGGCTTTGAGGATAGGCTTGACTGTCTCCCACTTGGTCCCTCTCATATCCAGGATCATTGTAAATCCCCGATCACGCACTTCATCACTGTCAATGTTCAGGTTAATTGCCAGTTAGTTTCAACTCGTAACATTGCTCAGTAAACATCAAATGCTTATTTCAGAAATTTAATTATAGGCTTCCTATGGTTTGTGTTCTTCTTCTTCTTCTTCTTAGTGATCACCAGTGGTAAACTCAAGCGGACATTTTTGGGTTTGTTTTGTCCACTTCTGCACCTTGGTCTTGATTCAGAACTTGAGTTTTGTGTGCATATCTATTTTATAGATCTGGCTTTATTTGCATGCAGACTGGTTGTTCCTCGCCTCAGGCAGACGCATTCAAGGAAACACTTTAAGTAGTCACATTTTACAATATGCTTTTTAGGAGGCAGTGGATCTAGTCTTTTTCTTTTCCCCAAAATGGGACCCTAAAACCCACAGGGGAAGTAGGGTTTGTGAAACATCAATTGCACTAGACAAGGATAACAAGGCTCCCAGTTGAGCATGGGCCCTTTAACCAACCTAAACCAAACCCTTTAAAGTTTTGAAAAAAAAAAAAAACAGCAACAAAAAGGTAAAGGATCTTTGTCAAACCAGTAGCATAATGAGTACTCAGTGCTAGACGCATATTTTTTTATAAACCAATCAGCATTCAAAAGGTGATGTGGTTAACACTATGGCAGCTACCTTTACTTCTCAAAAAATTTCCTGGTACCCATTTTAGACCGGATCAACCTGGGTGTAAATTGTTAATTATAAAAATCTTATTAAAAGCAAATTCTAATCCAAGATTTTTAGGCCGATGTCTTGTTACTGCATTACCCTGGCTTCCTTGTTCATAAATAATAATACTTGCAAGCTGCAGTCTTCTTAAGCATGATAAAGCAGTTTCACACCAATCCTCCATAGTCATCTCTGACATGCATGTTAAGTCCTACTATTCTTTGCGTCGCCTACTGGCCATGGTAACACATGGGTATACCTTTTTCTGTACAAACACTTCTATTCATGGCCCATATTTATGTCTTTTTGATGGTTAGTTTTCCCTGCTCTGCTGTCATTCTTCTTCTTTTGTCCTACTGCTTATGCCGTAAAGCGTCACAGAGAGGAGTTAGATGTATTTTCCTGTCTTTTGCTTGTGGCGTAGCTTGTGTTTATGTCATACTGTGTTTCTGTGGTGTCTCTTTTACTCCCTTCACCCATCTTTTTTTTCGTCGGCCTCTTGACTTGTAGTCTGCTCTAGCTGCTGGCTGATTTTATTACAATCTGACCGGATGACCAAATCATTTGATTGCTCAAGTGTAATTAATAGAAAATAATAAAGACTAGAGGCCCTCAAATAACTAAAAAAGTAGACAGATTGAAAACAATGTTTTCCAGTTGTCAATTTAAATGATGAGTGCACACAAAATGCACAGCACTATCAAATGCCTGGCATATTTAACTATCTCATCAGGTGCATGCTAGAGAACTGACATATCCTTTTTCCTGAAAGCAAAATATCTCAGTCCTTTGTTACACTGTATAGTTCACCATGAACATTTTAGAATAACCATGTGACCCATTTGCTTGCACAGCACATAACTGCCCATCAGTGTTGCCACTTTGGATGTTTAACATCCAGATTTAGATGTTTTTCCTTGCATTTAGATGGCGTTTTTGACATTTAGATGGTAGATGTTTTTATATATGTTTTTTTTTTTTTTTTCATTTTGAGTGAATTTATCAAATCTAACCTAAGAAACAGGATTAAATTTGACCTCTTAAATGCTATCTTGACAAAAAATTCAGCCTGATAAGAGTAGGAAAAGGCTGTTCCACTTATCAGCTCCCTGATTAGGTATTAAAAGAAATTGGAACAGCTAAAGCATACCAGAGTCATTGTGGATCTGAAGCCTCAACTTCATCATCCAAGCTTAGTTTATCCTGTGTATCTTGTAAGACAGACTTCAGTAAAGATGAGAACATGATTCTATAGGGTAAGTCATTAAAATTGCTGGACTTCCGGTTTAGAAATGGCAGCGTGAGGACGTGTTTGCGGCGACACTCGATTTTATTCTAAAATTTTCACTTAATCGGTGTTTTTCTCTTGATAACAAAGTGCGATTATTACGAATTCATTGACGATGGATATTCTCTTGTTCGTGGATACAAGTATTATGTGGTTTAGGGGTGATATAACGGAATTATTTCCACAAAATAGCCACGGCGGCGGCCGTGTCCTAATTCCGATAATGTAACCGCGTAGGAGCCACGCTCCCATTATAAACATGGGAGTCCACGGGTAAGACCCCAGTCTACTCTAGCAAAACAAGGGGCTGAAGTCGGAGGCAACCAGCCAGGAGGCGCACCACAGCAATCAGGATGCCACGCACAAACGCAACAGGGAATATTTCTATATCTGCAAATAAGTTTGATTTCCACCATGCGACCCACTCACGTACACGTGGTTCGATTTACCGGCCTAAGACAAGAAGAAAGAGTCCAGCTTCAAATACTCGAAGCCTCCCCCTAATGCCCCGTAGAACCAGAAAAGCAGAAAATACAGCTAGCCTTAAATTAATGCACTGGAACGCGGAGGGAGTAAATACTAAGAAATTAGAATTAGAAAACGTCTTGAACGAAGAGAATGTACATGTATGCTGCCTACAAGAGACTTATCTCAAACAAGATATGGCCTTTAAGATCAGAGGCTACCAGTGTTTCCGATCTGACCGCAAAGACAGGAGAAAAGGTGGAATTCTTACCCTGGTCAAAAATAACATCCTTGCGGGCCGGATCGAAACATACATGGAAGGTGCTGAGTACCAAACACTTGAGCTCAAGTTAGAAAATACAGATTTACATCTGACTAACTATTACTGTCCGAGCGACCGCCCTCAGGCACTGGATACAGTACTAATAAATGAAAAAATGATCATTTGTGGGGATTTTAATAGCCATTCCCAAAGTTGGGGCTACGATCATATGGACCAGAGAGGAGAGAAACTAGAGGACTGGCAGGATGAGAATAGGTTCATCCTCGTTAATAAGCCAACCGACCCACCAACCTTCTACTCTAGAGCATGGCATACCACCTCGACACCAGACCTAGCCTTTCACTCACCAGACATGGAACTGAATGTTACCAGAACTGTTGGGAAGCAACTAGGAGGCAGTGACCACCGGCCAGTCTTTCTAACTATAGAAAGCCAGTCTGTAAGAGAGAGCAGCACACTGCCAAGGTGGAATTTTAAGAAGGCAGACTGGAAGTTGTATCAGCTTCGCACAAATGTTCTGCTAGAAAATCTAAACACAGATAACGACGTAAAAAAAGTAGTCCAAGAGTTGAGCAAACGCATGCTGCAGGCAGCCCTAGAAGCAGTTCCAAGAGGTGCGCGTAAACAATACAAACCGTACTGGAATTGCGATCTGGAGCAACTGCACAACAATATGGAAACAGAAAGAAAACAAGCTGAGACCAGACCTTGTCAAGAGCAGTTTAACAACTACCAACATTCAAAGGCCAAATTTCAAAGAGCCAAACTGCAGGCTAGACGGGCAAGCTGGCAAGAAAAGACAAAGTCTCTAAACTTTGAAAGAGACACAAGGAAGTTGTGGAGGTTAATTAAGCAAATTAATGATGAGAATACAGGAAGAAATGGTAATATTGCACTATGCAAAGAGGGAGCCATCCTAACAAGAAAACAGGCAGCTGACCACTTTGCAGATTCCTTTGCAGAAGACAGCAACATTAATGTCAGCCCAGAGAAACAGCGAGAGGTTCAAGAAAACAAACAACATATAAGACAAAAAGATATAATTCCTGAGGCACTGGTGGCAGCATTTACATCCAGCGAGTTAGAGTTAGCAATATCAAAGCTGAGAATGGGAAAATCACCTGGAATTGATGGTATCACCAACGAAATGATCAAGAACCTTGGAACAACTGCCAAAAAAAAGCTGCTACAGATCTTTAATCATTGTTGGACCAGTGGCAAAGTTCCTCAAATATGGAGAGAAGCAATCACAATACCTCTGCTTAAACCAGGAAAGGACAGTTCTGATGCCTCCAGCTATAGACCGATCAGTCTTACCAGCTGCCTCTGTAAAACAATGGAACGTATTGTCAACCTTAGACTCCAATGGTACTTGGAAAGTGAAAACATTTTCACGCCGCAGCAGGCAGGATTTAGACAGTGCTACTCCACAGAAGACCAGACAACTTACCTTTCACAAGAAATTGAGGATGCCTTCCAGGAAAAGAAGCTAGTGCTAACGGCATGGATAGATCTGAAGAAAGCCTTTGACAAGGTCTGGAAAGAAGGTCTACTGAAGAAACTGAGAGACTGCAGGGTGAATGGGAGAATGTACAAATGGGTGAAAGCATACTTGTATAACAGAAGATCCCGAGTACAGATAGATGGACTTAAGAGTAAGAAAGTTTTGCTGCGCCATGGCGTCCCACAAGGAGGTGTTCTGTCCCCCACACTCTTCCTAGTCTATATCAACGACCTGCTTTCTGAACTACCCCATGGAATTAAAGCTGCAATGTATGCTGATGACTTGGTACTCTGGTGTACAAATGAAAATGCGACAGTGGCCACCAGGCTGCTACAAAGAGCCATAGATGCAATGGCTGATTGGGCCAACAAATGGTGTGTCAGCATCAACATAGGCAAATGCAGCACCACCCTCTTTACCCTTTCTCCTAAACAAAAATCAGGTGTCATGCATATAAATGGAGTACCCCTGAGAGAGGATAAGGAGCCCACATACCTCGGTGTAACATTTGATGATAGATTAACATGGAGAAAACACATCAACAAGGCAGCAACCAAAGCCAGAAGGAGGGTAGCCATTCTGAGAAAACTAAGTGGAACCACATGGGGTGCTAGCGGGAAAATCCTTAGAAAAGTTTACCAACAAAGTGTTCGACCACATCTTGAATACGGATCAACAGCATGGAGCTCGGCATCAAAAACCACATTGCAAGAATTAGACAAAGTGCAAAATCAAGCACTCAGAGTTACCACAGGCAGTATGAAATCAACACCTATAGCTGTGATG